TCTACTGAAGCAAATGAAGCATAGCAGATGTAATGAACAGTAGCAGCTGTTGGGCATTTTTTCCTTAACTCATCCTCTTTCTCATGAGATTGTTTGCATGATTATTAACATAGTAAAGAGCAAGAGTAAGCATTTCTGCTAACCAGGACTTCAAATCTCCTGACGAGTGGTAAGTCACACGAGGGCAGTAAAATCACAGCCACGTGACCTCCACCCTTTTTTAAAACAAAAAAAAACAACTAACAAATATTCATGGGGCAGAAAGTCAATTCAAATTATCTAACCTTGTTTTGGATTCCCCTAGGACCAACATGCGATTTTGTTTCCATGGAGGATGAAAAATCCTTATTTTGGATCAATACAGATGCCACTTCTGTCATTCATCATCTGATCAATAGGTTAACTCTAAGAAAGCAGGACACCAAAGGAATTTCTGTTCATTTTCCCAAACAGCGAAACAAAAAAAAAGGAGATGTAGAAGACAGAAGAGCATTACAGAACCACTTGGTTGTGTGTTCTTTTTTTCAGTAGTAAAACTAATCTCCAAAATTTTCCACTGCACATATCATTTATTTCGTTTTTGCACACTGGATAGTTTTTGTTGAAGTCTTTATTTCAGGATTTATCACCTTAATCTGTGTAGCAGTTACTGCTTAGAAAGAAAGGTTAAGAAAATTACTGCCATAGGAAACACCTAAACTTTTTTCTTTTTCATGACTTTCTTCTATACTTCTCAGTGATTTAAGAATGCCTGATGATGAGGTTTCAGGGTGGGTCTACACTCAAAATCCACAGAATTTCAGAGAACCTTCTTTGTCTTCTAAAGGCATTTCAGATGTATTTATGTCTTGGAAATTACATACATATTTTTTTCCCCCAAGCCCCCGTATTTTGTTCACGTGACAAAAAAGGCAAGCAGTTGACATGTATTTTTTTACTGTAAAGCACAGCACTTTGGTTGGCCTTAGATCTGTACCACGACAGCCCATATATCAATACTCATTTACTACCAAACATCCCATCTGTCTTTCTGACCACATTAGGGACTGAGATCCATAACACAGAATGAATGCACATGTGGTCACCTTTCAGGATGCAGCTTTGCTCCCAGTTCCTTGAGTAATGCAAGAAAGCCATAAAATAGCAAAAAAAAGTATCACAAGGAAGGAAATATTGCTATATCTCTGCCATTACAACCCTGCTCTTTATTGCAGCCAAGTGGCTTTTTACCTCAATATTTTCCATTGCTTCAGATATTCTTTCTTTCAGATCTACGGGAGAATCATGACTGTGGTGTTTGAGATCTCTCACAACTATATCAAAGTGATTGCCTTTCAGCTGACCAAGTCTAAGATGCTGGTGTGCTGAATGTATGTTGTGTATTCTCATGCCCTTTTTTTCCAGTTTGCTTTCAATGTCTTTCAACCTGTATAAATAATTGGGAGAAAATATGAGCCACCTGCAATTAAAGCTATACAACTTGTAATAGAACGTCTTCTTCACCTTTGCACTAGAATTAAAAAGATTTAATAGAATTCAAGAGATTTAAAACAGAGAAAGTAAACTCAAACTTAGAGATAGTCTAAAGATTTAGCTGCAGTCCATAAATATCTTCAGACTATTTGCTTCAGTTATGTTTTGTAGCTTGACAGGTACGGGAATTAAGCAATTCACTGAACATTCTCAAGGCACCCAAAGTGAATTTTATTCTTTTTATTGAACAAAGAAGTTAGAAGTCCTAGAAATTTGCTTCTCATGAAAAGAGAACAGGAGATGAGAGAAGAAAAAGAGAATAAAAGAGGAGAAAAAGAAAGAAAAAGGAAAAAGCAATGTCTGCCACTCTAGCAGTCTCCAAAACAATTTGCTTGCTCTTGTTAAGTCTTAAAGAAACAAACTCAGAACACCAATTCTCTGAGCATGCTTGCACATGCTTGTAATTGGAAATGCAGCTGACGGCTCAAGTATTTGCACTTTAAAGCATCCACTCAATCTCTCTGTTCTTATATATAAGAAAGTAATTAAATTCAAGGGAAACTTTCAGCTTACATTTTAAACAACATGTTAACACTTCAGTAAATCATTTTTCCTGATTAACCAGCAGCTTGGAAGCAACCATTTTGCTAATTCTCTTGAACAAATGGCCTAGTTTGCAATGGAATTTTACTATTGATAGTTGTTTGAATTAGTATTGAACCCTGAAAACATAAATTCTAGTTTCTTTTATTTGAAAGTTAAAGTTGAGGAAGAAATAAGTTGTGGTTTTTACACCAGCAACTTTTTTTACTGCAACTGCAGAACTTTAATACTTATTTTTTACCCGCTGAGTTGGCAAAAAATGAGAACATCTTGTGTTATCAGCAAGTTATCCAGAATGTATTTCTATCCTCATGCATGCTGACATCTTCTTTACATAGACTCATGTTTCTGTGATGCACAATATAATAGAAGTTGATATTCAACACTCAAAATAAACATCTGTCCAAAGTACAAATGCAGTTATTTACTTTAAAGGTAATTTTGCTTGTTTGTTTTTATTCTCTGTAAGTTACGTTGTTGTCTGTGGATCACAAGACAAAACTGTTGGGGTTTGTATAGGTTTCCTCTCTCTTCCAGCTAGCAGATGAACTTAAATTAAGAAGTGGATCACATGATCACGAATTAGAAGGATAGATAATATTATATATTCATAGTATGACAAGAAAATTTTTCTTTAAATTTCCACTGGGGGACTTCAGTGCTACACTGTATATACCCAGAAGCCACAAAACATTAAAGCCATTGCCACTGTGGTCTAATACAGGAGGAGGGAAAGACAAAGTATTAGGAACCTTGCAGCAGCTTGGTACTTAATAGCAAATTAGAATAGTGCTACCCCGATTGTCAGTACCTCTCAGGAGTAACCTTCTTCACAACCATCATTTGGTACGTAATAGCCTTCTTATCTTTGATGCCCGTGTAACTGAAGTCTGAGGGAAGAACTCCAAGTTCAGCAGCCAAGCAGCTGATTGCTTCCAGTGTCTCTAGATTTTCTTTCTGAAGGGTGAAAGCTGAAACAATCATCCCAGAGTTATTAGAAATTTGCACTTCTATGTCATACAGGTGCTCTGCCATGGCTGATTTCAGTTTCTTCCTTTCAAACCATAACAGCATGACAACTGCAGAGACAACTCCCACTCCACAAAACTAAAGGAAAGAGGACATTTTCAGTATTAAAAGAAAAGAATAAAGACACAATAAACAAAGTGAAAACAATAAAAACCCCCTGCTGGCTTTCAGAGTGGTACCTGATCAAATGCAATGCAATTCCAGTAACCTGACTTCATGCTAGCAACGCCCTTAAGAAATGAGATCATAAAATCAAATCTGAACTCACTAAGTTGCCCAACATCTGAACACATCTTCTTAAATCCACATACTGAACCATACTGCCCATTCTAAAATGATTCTGATGGTATTACCGCAGAACACCACAGTACCCCCACACTTCCACTAAAAATGTAATGTTTACCTGTATAAAGATCTTGTTTTATCTGGAAACCATCAGCAGACCTCTTTCTGGAGCAACTTTTCTCTCTAAACCTCACCATTATTGACATATTTGGCTTACAACTGACATCTTCCACAGTAAAAGACTTTGTTTCTAAAATTTTCCCAAATTTTTTATTGATGAAGTGGTGAACCTTTTTTCTGTGCTCCTTATTTCCATCAGGCTCAAAAGAAAAGGTGGAATTTTCCAGCTTGGCGTCTAAAAATTTAAAGAAATCGCTTGTTTCCTTTTCAGTCACTAGCTGACAGAGTTCTCTGTAGTCAGCGTTTCCTTTCACAACCATTTCGTTGTCCTTTGTCACAGTGACCAAGAAGGGGAATCTCTGCCTGATGGCGCCGTGCAAATCGGCCCGATCTCTCTTATCCACCACGGCTCCCAAGGAGAATTCCCCGGCACCGACATCACAACCCCTTTCCGAGTCCCACGCCTCCTTCAGATCACAAGCAAATTTAGTAAGCCTTTCACTCGCGGGCTTTCCCAAAAGGGAATCCAACAGAGCGGCTGCCTCCGGGCCGGATTTCACGCCCCCAGCACAGCGGCTCTGCTCAGGGTATGACACAGGGTCACGGCGGGCAGGCACCACCGCGCCCCCAGCCCCGGCGCTGGCTGTGGCGGAGGCAGCGGGCGGACTCCCTGCCGGCAGGTCGGGCTGCGGCGGGCTGACGTCCCGGGGCGCCGCGGGGCGCTGCGGCAGCTCCAGCTCCCTCACCACGAAGTCAGCGGGCGCCTTCTTAATCGTCCCGCGGAAGCCGGTATGATCGGTCACGTAACTGAGGGAGCGCAGCATGACTCCCCTGCCCGCCGCTGCGAGAGGAGAAAAAATTAACAACAACACTAATTTTTTTTTTTTTTTTTTAAGAGGGAAAACAGAAAACGGAGGGAAATCATCCCCCTACTGCTGACTGCAGGCACAGCCGCCCCGGCTCCCATAGCGGCCGCCAGGGGGCGCCGCTGGTACCGCCCCCCCCCCCCCGGCCACCGCTACCTCGTCCGGGAGAGGGGGAACGGCCGCGAAGAGCTGCACCCGCCCCCCCCACCAACCTCGCCTGCCGGCTGTGGCGCGCTGCGGGAGGGCGGGCCTTCCTCGCTGCAGGAAGCGGGAGGAAGCGCTGCCTTCGCGGTGCGGAGGTTGCGTCAAGGCTTCGAAACAGGGAAGTGCTGCCGTGCCGTCCCGGAAGAACGGCGGGAGCTGGGGGCCGGCCGGCAGCCCCGGCAAGGGGATCGAGTTCCGGCTACCTACCTGTGGCTTCGCCCCGGCCGTCGGCGGTTCCCGGCCTCGCCATGAGCCAGCCGGTCACCGCCGCCACGTACGTCCGCAGCCTGCGCTACGGGCTGCTGAGACGGCTGGCCGACCTCCTCGACCCGCAGGAGGGCTGGAAGCGGCTGGCCGCGGCCATCACCGACCCGGCCGGAGAGAGCAGATACAGCCAGGCGCACATCAGGTCTGGCGTGGCCGTCCCGTGACGTAACCGCGTTCACTGCTGCTGGATTGGCATCCCTGTGTCTAACGCGTGTGCCTGGGCAGCCTGCGTGCACAGCAGTGCTCAGAACATATCTCACACGGTGCTTCCTGACGGAACTCTCGTAGTTCCTCTCTAGTTTGCTTTTGACATAAGCGAGACTTGTCTTGCCAGGCTGAGAGAGCTGCGGCTGTTCAGCCTGGAGAGGAGAAGGCTGCGGGGAGATCTGAGGACAGCCTGTCGGTGTCCGAAGGGGCTGTGAGAAAGGAGGGGACCGGCTCTTCAGCGGGGTCTGTGGTGATAGGACGAGGGGAAATGGTGTCAGACGTAATGAGGGGAGACGTCTCATCCGCGGAGACATTCGGTGTCAGGCTGGGCATGGCGCTGAGCAGCCTGCTCTGGCCGTGGGTGTCCCTGTTCAGGGCAGGGCAGGTCTGTGGATGGTCTATGAGAGTCCATTCCAACTCAAACGGTTCTATGAGAGCCACAGAGAACTGACTGAGGAAATCTGAATAAGCTCCACAGGCTATTTGCTGTGGACAAATGTAGAATGTGTACTTTTACCCAAGTCTGCATTTGTTTGGTGTTATTTTGTGTATGGGGAGTTGTAGTTGTGTTTTCTGTATGTCTGTATGTAGCAGTACTTCTCCTGTACTGCTGAAGTACCATTCATTACATGGTGAATTTTGTGTCTTTTTATTTACCGTTAATCACGCTCCCTTCTTTGTGGTTCTCCATGTTACTTTTCTTTTCAAAGATAGCGTTATTTTTTCTTTTTAAGGAGATTTGAAGCATTTGTGCAGATGGGAAAGAGTCCCACATGTGAATTGCTTTATGACTGGGGAACAACAAATTGTACAGTTGGTGACCTTGTGGATCTGCTGATTAGGAACCAGTTTCTGGCACCAGCAAGTCTTTTGCTTCCAGGTAACTGTCACCTGTATGTATTCTGTGCTGTGTTCCCGTATCTGTATGATGCTGGTGACCTTCACAGTAACTGGACAATCAGAAAAGGTTAGGTGAAAATAATCAAAAGAGGATATATCTTACATTATTTACAATAAGAGTTTTAATGAAGTGGACTACAATTTTCCAAGTTTAAATAAAAGCCCTACAGTTTACATGTGGTGGAAGAATATAACCTTAGTAAACACTGGCATAATGTTATTTATGTTCTCTGATTTCTAATCTGGTAACATTTTTTCTAAATTCCATTTTCAGAAGCTGTCGGGATGGCACAAGAAGTTACATTACCTCTTTCTTCACAGGAAACTTTGCCTGTACATGAGAAGCAACAGCCTATACAGGAAAAAGAAGTAACATCTGTAAAGCCTGTTTTGTCTCAGAATACAGAGAAGCAACCTTCAGTCCCTCCATGTTTAAGCCAAGAAAACAGCAACGCGCAGTCTAGTAACACAGGTGGGTGCTTAGTTTGTTAAAATGTTTTTTGCTGATCTGACCTTCACCTGTGTGAAATAAGTCCTAGGGATGCATTGGAGTAATGACTATTTGTGTCTTTGTGCTTTTTTGCTTTTCAATCTTGTTCTCTGTGACCGTGAATACAGCCTATGCAAATAAGACACCAGAAAATGAGATATTATGTAGCCACACTAGTGGGTAAGTGTAGAGTCCTGCACCTGGGGATGAATAACCACATGAATCTGTACAGGTTAGGGGCTGCACTGCTGGAAAGGAGCTCTGCAGAGATGGACCAGCATGTTCTGATGGACGGCAGGTTGGCCATGAGCCAGCAGTGTACCCTTGTGGCCAAAAAGGCCAGTGGTATCCTGGGGCATGTTACAAAGTGTGGCCAGCAGTGGAGGGAGAGGATTCTCCCCCTCTACTCTGTCCTGGTAAGGCCACATCTGGAACACTGTGTCCAGTTCTGGGCTCCCTACTTCAAGAAAGACAGGAAACTTCTAGAGATAGTCTAGCAAAGGGCCAAAAAGGCCCTTTGAAGGGCCTGAAGTGTCTTCCTTATGAGGAAAGGCTGAGATGCCTGTTCAGTCTGGAGAAGACTAAGAAGGGATCTTATCAGTCCTTCTAAGTATCTAATGGGCAGCTCTTGAGCATGTGGAGCTGGGCTCTTTTTGGCTGTGTATGGTGACAGAAAAGGAGCAGTGGGCACAAACAGGAACACAATAAGTTCCATCTGAATATGGGGAAAAACTGGGGAGAGGTTGTGGAGTCTCCTTCTCAGGAGTTGTTCAATACCCATCTGGATGCTCTCCTGAGCAGTCGACTGTAGGGAACCCACTTTAGCAGAGGGTTGGACTAGATGAACTCCAGAGGTCTCTTCCAACACCTGTAATACTGTGCTGCTTTGAAATTGTAATTTGGTTTATTCTATATGTAATTCTGTTACTTTCTTTCAGTACTGATTTTGTAGACTGTTTTGCACTTTATGCTTTGAATTTGGATTTTAGTTATCAGAAATGACTAAGAAATTTGGAAAAAAGTTGACTGAAGAAAGTAATCTAGAATATAATTTGTCCACTGCATTTCAACTTTTGTTGCCAGAAACGTGGTGTATATATCTTTACATCTGACACAGTGTTTGGCTTTCTCTGTGATCTGCTTCATGTTTAGTTTATTTTACCTGTATTATGGGCATTAATTAAAATGTATGTATATGGTCAGAAGGCTGCTACACACTATCTGAGAAGAAAGTTATGCATAGCTGATTACATGTATGTATTTGCATTTTTTTTAGTGGTATCTTCATCATCTCTGAAAATAAGGTTCCAATGTGTCAAGATTTGTGTTGTGGCAAGTAGAGGATCTATTTAATACACTTGCTATTTGAGTGAAAATGTGGTTCTGTGCTAAATGTCAATTGTGTCTTCTAGATTTCCACAATTTTCGCTTTCACGACTTGGAAAGTGTTACAAATAATTTTGATGAACGACCAGAATCAGCTGGAGGAAATAAGCTGGGGGAAGGTGGCTTTGGCATTGTGTTCAAAGGCTACATCAATGGCAGAAATGTGGCTGTCAAGAAACTTGCTGCTGTGAGTTGTCCTCAGCATTTTTCCAGTTAATAACTTTGTTCTTGATAGTATAGACTTGATCATCTATGAAGAGTTGAGTAATACATTTCCAGAAAGTATCACCATGTTAAATATGGGTTGGGTTCAAGAACACTGTCCTGTAGTCCTGTGGGTGGTGTGAGCTGTCACAGTGACCAGAGGTGAAATTTTGCATTTCCATAGTTCTTGCAGTAGCTCAGACAGTCCTTAGAAGGAGCTGGGTGCTCCCTTTGTTCCCCTCTTCCCCCTGCACCACAAGAAGGGCAGAAGAGGTTTCCCTTCTAATTTCTGTGGCAGTGTGCTTTGGGAGATAGGCATTACCATATAATTTTAGTCTTTGTAATAGCTGTTTTCTGTGAATAACATATTTTATAACTAGTGAGCGCTATTAATAGAAAACTGCAGTGAAATAAAATACACAGATACAGGCTGGATATAAAATGAATTGATAGCAGCCCTGAGGAGAAGGGTTCTGGTTGAACCACAGCATAAACTGCCAATCTGCACTCACAGCCTGGAGAGCCGACTGTGTCCTGGGCTGCATCATAAGAAGAGTAACTAGCAGTGTGAGGAACGTGACTGTATTCCTCCACTGCTTCTGTGAGCCCCTCCTGCAGTGCTGCATCCAGATCTGGGCTGCCCAGCAATAGGATGTGGGTCTGTTGGAGTGGGTCTGAGGGGGCCACAGAGATGATCAGCATCAGAGAGATGGAACACCTCTCCTATGAAGACAGACTAAGGGAGCTGGCCTTATTCAGCTTGGAGAAGGGAAGGCTTTGAGGATATTATATAGTGACATTCTTGTACCTGAAGAGGGCATAAGGAAAGCTGAAGAGGGACTTTTTACATGTGCATGTAGTGATAGGACGAGGGTGGGTTTAGATCAGAATAAATTCTTTGCTGTGAGGGAGGTGAGGCATTGGCACAAGCTGCCCAGGGAGCCTTTGGGTGCCCCATCCCTGGAGGTGCTCAAGGCCAGGTTGGATGGGACCCTGGGCAGCCTGGTCTGGTGAGTGGCAGCCCTGCCCAGGGCAGGGGGTTGGAATCAGATAGTCTTAAGGGTCTAAGCCAAGCCTGCTATGGTAACTTGGTGACTGCTGAAACTGTATTGATTACTCCAATAATATGATGCTACGTGATACAAAAAACTAAAAATCATGTTCTGATACTTTTTTTTAAACTGAACTCAAAGACAAAAAAAAAAAAATCTGATAAACAATTAAGCAGTTGTTATGTGTAACTAACTAAAAAAAAGGCTTACAATTTAATTTTTTTGTGAGCAATCATGCATTTTAATACATCCAGCAATATTGATGTCAAGTACTCTCTTTGTAGGTGGTTGATGTGAGTGCACAGGATTTGAAACAGCAATTTGATCAAGAAATAGAAATTATGGCAAAGTAAGTACAGGACCATAAATGTCACTGTAACATTTTCTGAGAGTCTTAAGTTGGCAGATAACACCTTAGTCACTGTGGTCCCTATTTTTTGTTTTATCAGTGTAACTTAAATTTCCAGCTTAAGTGAGAATGTTTCATGCATATCAGAAGCAGTTTACGTGTAAGTACTGCTGCAGAAACATGGCTGGTACCTGTGAGTGAGAGGCTGGAGTGTGGGATTGGGGATCACAAATGTTAGGAGATTTGCAGAGCATCTCTGAATGGAATTGTTTTGCTTTAGGTGTAAACATGAAAATCTAGTAGAATTGCTTGGTTTCTCAAGTGATGGTGCTCAGCCCTGTTTGGTGTATGAATACATGCCCAATGGTTCGCTGCTTGACAGACTTGCTTGTCTGGTAAGTAAAATCTTTGTTAAGTGGAGCTATTTTTGAAATATCTTTGGAACTGTAGTGGCCAAGCAGTATTCTGCTACTGCTGAGTTCTAGAAGTAAGACATGTATGATAATACTTAATCTTCCAGTAACATGGTATACAGATGTTTTTGGCCCAGTGTTGCTTAGTTAAAGCGGAGTAGCAGTATAATGTAATATGCCAGTATCCTGAAGTCCATGCTATGCTGCAGACTTGCTACGAGCAGAGGGTGCTGCACTGTTCCTACATCAGACATTGACTTGTTCCCTGCTTGTTCCTAGATTTTGTGTTGTAAAATTGCCCTTTGCACAATGCCCTTGTGATAGTAGCTGTAACATGATGTTCATAGTCTGCATGTCTCTTTTGGAAGTGCTCAAAGGAACAGGGTGTGCTTTTTAAAATTAATATTTTGTGTAAAACAGTGCTTTCATCTGATTTAATCAAATGACGTATCTTGTGGCCCTGGCCTTTCGTAAGAAATCAGTGACTTTGTTTGGTGAAAGGGCTAGTTGCCACTTGTTAGAGTGATGCAAAACAGTCAGCTGAATGTCCACATCAGTTTGTGTTAGTCAGTGAAAGTTGTAGAAATTGTCCTCAATAGGGGTGTGTACAGAAATGTTCATCCATCCACTTGCTGACCATTAGCAGTGAGTGAGCTGAGAGGAATAGTGGTAACTGAAAGCTAAAGTAGAAAACAAAGGTACAAATTTACAATATAAATTCAGAAGGAGTCTTCATCTGGTAAGGTAAAATGCATGATGAATGTGTATACTGACTCTGTGTTCCTGCTGATAAAGCAGGAGTCACTGTGAATTTGCTAACTCCTGCTTATGTCATCTGCTTCTTGCCTGGGCTTTGAGGAGCTAGGGAGGCAGCAGGATGCTATGACAGGATTAAGAAGTGCTGATAGAAAGCACAATGTGTGCGTAGGTGCAGGTAGTTCTTTGCAGTGCAGCTTATCTTTTATCGTCAGAGCTAAATGTAAACTGTTTTGCACTGGGTGAATTACTCTAATGCAGAATGTGGGGAAGAGAGCTAAAGGTGACAAATGCCTATATCTCAGCAAATGTAAATTGAGAGATCTATACCATTTATCTTTTTAAAAGTAATTACTTGAAAGCCATAAAACGTAGCAAGTAATTGTTCTGGATTGTTTTTGTTGTTGTTTTTTTTGTTTGTTTGTGTTATACTTTGAAAAAATATACTTTGGATTTTCACATTCATGCTTTCCTTTCTCCATTCTTATTCAAGGATGGCACTCCACCAATTTCTTGGAATACAAGGTGTGAAATTGCTCAAGGTACTGCCAGTGGCATCAACTTTTTGCATGACAATAATCATATTCACAGAGACATTAAAAGGTAAAAGCTATGACACTGGGTGCTTTTTTTGTTGCTGTACCCTTTTAAAGTCTGTTAGAGAAAACAGACTGAAAGATTCAATGCTTTATTCAAGGACGCAATCCTTTCTGCAAGTGCTATCCACCACCATAATCTTGTCTGTGCCACAAGGACATGACTACACAGGCTTCTAAAGATAATTATGAGACTGTTGTAATCTGTTACTTTCAAATGTTATCTGAGTGCTGCAAAGGGGCGTAGGAGTTCTGTTCTTTTGCAATTGCTGCTAACAAAAGAGCTGCTGTCACAGAACATTGGGACTTTTAAAACTGGGAGTTTTTCAGATCAAAACCCACTGTCTTTTTTTTTTTTTCCTAGAGTATTTCTGAGTGCCTCCTTTATTTCCTGCTATTTAATATGAAGAGATTAAAATGTCTGAAATCAGGTTTATGAAGCTTAAGGATGTTTAAGGTTGATGTATGCCCACTTATTTGTTACAGCAAGATTGATGTTTTGGTTGTTTTTTGTATTGTTTTGGTTTTTTTTGCTATGACAAAGCAGTCAAAATGTTTCAAGAAAATGCCTAGATACAGATACCCCACTTCTTTTGTAGGTTGACAAGGAGCAACCGATGGGTTGGGTGTCATGGATGAATGTTTCAGTGGCTTTCTGGCTTCTGACATCTCTGCTAAATGTAGGCTGTATAGGTTTTGTGAACTTCCATTCTGTGAGGAAGTAGTTTTTGCTTCAGCTCACCCATAAAAGGTACTTGCTGCTTTGACAACTCGTGTTTCTTCTTTCTTTCCTGCTTAAGCATCAGGACATGGGCAGTGCCTGGAAGGAACGCGTTTTCTTACCTTATGCTGCTCTACTTTTCTAACTGCTGTGAGTTGGTTGTATTACAGGATGGAATTTGGCTTTGTTTTTCTTTCGCTTCAATTCCATTTTGCAACTTCTTGCATTTTCACTGTTAGATTTTCTGTAAGACCAGTAGAAAGCTGGAGATAAAGAGAAACACAGCACATAGATTGTTCCAGCATTAAGCAGTATTGTTTCTCTTTCAGGAGAATACAAGTATTGATAATCATTTGACTCTGGAATTTGTAACAGTTGACATTTCATTAGATAATAGGTATAAACCATTAAAGCCAGCTTTTATTAGTTCTGAGTAGAGGTCTAATGGTTAAGAATTCCAGCATGCTCCGGTACTCATTTTTGCTGTGTTTTTCTTTTGTGTTTTGTTGGGGTTATCTGTTATTCCTAGAAACACTCAGAATAGCAGTTTGCATTTGGTTACTAAAGACTTATTAGTCTGTATTAAAATCCAGATACTGTTTTGGAAAACTCTTTTCATTTTTCTCCCCTCTTCACCAGTGCAAATATCTTATTGACTGAGACGTACGTGCCCAAAATTTCCGACTTTGGACTTGCAAGAGCATCAGTAACGTTCACGCGAACCATCATGACAGACAGAGTTGTGGGAACAGCAGCCTATATGGCACCTGAAGCTCTGCGAGGAGAAATAACTCCTAAATCTGATATCTTCAGCTTTGGGGTAGTAAGTAGAATGAGGGGAGCTGTATGCGATTGCATTTTTGTATTGATTGATGTAACGTTGATAGAAGGGTACAAAATCAAGAGTGTTTGAAATTAAGCAATCCACTTTGATCTATTATTTCTCCTACTCCCTGTGCATGTGCACTTAAATAGTGTTTCTACTCTTTGAGTGGTTTAAAAGCATTTGAGTATGTTGATTAAAATGTTGCACCTGCTAATGCTTGCTGTGCTTATCTTAAAATGTGAATTTGTGCGTGGAAGACCAGAGAAAAATAACATTTCAACTTCTAGCAAGCTTAAATTAACATAAAAGATTTCTACTTCTTCTATAGTATTTCACACAGAGGTGATTGAAAATGTTAAAGAAAACAATCCAGAGTGAGTTTCATCACCAAATGGAAGGTGTCAGTGTGGGATTTGACTGAACGCTGAGTACTGAATATCCAGTCAGAAAAACCCAAACAACTGCTTGCTATCTGGGAGAGAAATGAATCCACTCCCTTCTTTGTGGCCTTTAGTTCCATGGGGATGTAGGCCAAATACTGTATCTGAGTATCTGGGAAATTCTTCCATCTTGTTTAGAGGCACCACAGTTGTAGGATGTGGAAAGGTGCCAAACACCGCTGCTAATAGCAGATGGTGACAAGAAGGCCTGGGACAACAAAAGCAATCAGTTGTGTAGTGGGCTGTGCAGTGGGACAGCTACTGATCCTGTGAGCATTTGTGTGAAAGGCTGAGGATCATGTTCCTCTTCTGATTCTTTGAACAGTCTCTACGTTGAGGATTAATGTATTCTCTTCTGATTTATTTTTTTTCTTCTAGGTCTTACTAGAAGTAATAACAGGTTTGCCACCAGTAGATGAAAACCGGGAGCCACAGTTACTGGTATTTTTATTTTTCTGCTTTCTTCCTCCCTCCAGGATCATTTCATATAAAATAGTCGTCAGTTAACAGGTGGTGAGACAAGCAAATTACATCTCTTAATGAATAGTTATGTAAATTTTCTCTTAGCTGATAGGAAAGTGTCCAGTGCCCACGGTCATCTCCTTCCAATCTGTATTGTATTTCTCCTTGTTCTGATACTGTTTCTTGTTGCAATGCTATTTTGCTTTACTAGCATACCCTTGTTTTACCAGATACCCTGATAGTTCCTCTTTCACCAGAACATTTGAAAGTATGCATCTCAGTTGATTCTTCATGCTTCTTACTAGCCCTGCATCATTTTCCATCCTCTTCAACTTTCCTAGTTATTTGCAAGTACCTTGGTTTTTGGCCCTAGGGAAGTTGGAAATGTAAGGGCTATTTGGGGATGTTTTGGTTTTAATATTCAATTAGAAATTCAGCCTGCTAATTTGGAAACTCTATCTCTGAGCTTACTCTTTCCAATTAAAAATTTTATAAACTTTCTCTTAATTTAGCCTTTCATTTAGTTTAAATTTCAAGTTGCTTAATCCAGGATTTTCCATATAGAGACTTAGTTGTTTACTAGGTATGAAATAGCACTGAGTTTTGGTTTGGTTTTGTTCCACACCATTGGATAGCTGATCACCCTCTTACACATACACAGCTTTAGGAATACGTGTGTACTATTAATAGAGTCCTTTCTCTAAGCTGTATCTTCTGGAGTGGCATAATATTTATCCTTCTAAACTGTGATGACCTTGGAGAACTCAAATCCTCGTCAGATACAATCCTTGAGCTTTTCTCTTTCCTTCTTTCTTTATCTTCTTTTTAAAAGCAGGCTTCTTTTTTTTTCACAAGGTAGACTTTATACTCCATTTTAGATTCTGATTTGATTGGTACCCGTTTATTCTAATGTCCTTTTGGGAGCACAAGGAGTGGGCAGTGTGAGACAATATGGCATCCTTAGCTTCAAAAACTGACAAGTTTTTATTACACACTATAGTCTTGTAAGTTGTTTTGGTAGATACTGATGAATAATTCTGCTACCCAACCATTGTAATTCTTTGTCTAGAAAAGTGATAGAGAAAAATGAAGAGAAGTGAAAAGCAAGTTGTGAAAGTGTTTGTGTGGAATCTATGATCTTCAGATGCTTACGGTATTCTCTGCTCATTGGTTGCAACTCTCTTGTAGTTAAGTATCAAGGATGAAATTGAGGATGAGGAGGCGACAATAGAGGATTATGTTGATGTAAAGATGAGTGACTGGGATGCAGCTTCAGTTCATAAGATGTATTCACTTGCTGATCAGTGTCTGAATGAGAAAAAAAACAGGAGGCCAAACATTCAGATGGTATGTAGCCTGTCAGATTGAAGGCTTATTTTTAGCCATTGGTGTTTGTAGTTATGGTATCAGTTACTTGTACTTCTCGCTGTTCTCTTGCAGGTCCAGCAGTATTTACAAGAGATAAAAACGTGACATGCATTTCTGATACACCTGTTGTCTAAATGGAGTGCAGACCAGGAGCAAGTAGAGAATTGTATTAGCACTTACTGTGACATGATCAGCCTTTCTGCTTCCCAGAACTTTCTGGTCCACATATGAGACATGCAGGTGGCTTGTCACCACACTATTTTTTATTTTTTTATTTCTTTTTACTAACTGGGCACCTTTTCATACATCTATAGCCACAGGACCTTCAACATGAGAAAGCCTTTTTTCTTTTCTTTTGGTATAAACAAACTGCCTTGCTGATACAGCCTCTAATAGGTTTTTAAGCACATTTCTGTATTACCATCTCTCTGACTTCTCCTTGCCACGTATCAAGTATCTTCAGCAAAGCAATGTGGTAGTAACAAGGTGGATGTTTTTCTGCAATTTTTTTTTCTTGAGAAGACCTCCTAGACCTTTCTTTACTGAACACAAAAACGTTTAGTAGACGTAAATGGCACTTGTGTTATCTTGTTGGCAGAAGGCAATAGCAGTACCCACATTTAAACAAACTTAGCATTTTAGCTTGAGAGTTCATATTAGTGTGAACAAACCGGTGACACCCATGAATGTGACTGTTTTTTAGAAAGCCTTCTCGGGGTTTGTTTCATTCAAATAAGTGCTGCAGAACATCTGTTAGGTTTCGAGGTTTTGCAGGCAGAGCAATTACATCACAGTGCAAATGCAGAAATGTGTGGCTTTCTTCTGGTCAGCTCTGCTGGTGAACCTTTTAATCATTGTTCATAGGAAGACTTACAGTTACTTCTTCTTTTATGTGTCAGGAGAAGAGTCCATGTGAGACACTGCAAATATTGATGGTTTATTTTGTTAAAGGAGTCAAATGTTAGGACTAATTCTGCATTCTCCTTAGTCAAATCATTAAGCTCTTACATGTATGTATATTAATGAAGTATAAAAATACACAAAATTACTGCAGAAAGCTTTTCGTGTTTGGGGTTTTTTGTTTTTGTTTGGGTGGTTTCTGTTTGTATGGCTTTATTTAAAGATTGACATATCAAAGCAGATTCAAAATTGAAGTGAATAAGATTCTAGATACTTTGGACCAGCAGACTACTGCTCAGCTACTCAGTGGGAGGTTGTTTTCACATAATGTATTTTCTGGACCTCAAATGCTGGAAGGAGAAAAAAAAAACTGCTGGAAATGAGAATAAAATCTGTTTAAGTAATTCTTTAAACAACTCTTCTTGCTGTTACTTGAAGATTTCTTACTAGATTTTTTTTCTGTTTCTTACTGCTGAAGGGCTAAAATACATCCATGTTGTTGCCGATGTATATATATGAAGGGCAATAGTTCTCTCCTTGGCAATAGCCAGAGATGCTAGGAAGTGTGCTGTGGGTCACAGGGGTCTGCACAGCCACAAGTGGTTGGGACATGAGCCAGTAGTGGCTGCTGAGGGACAGGTGACTGTGACAGACAGTGTGCAGGCAGTGCTGCTTCAGTGGAGCATTATGGTTTTGTGGGTTGCAGCTCATTAACTTTTTGAGAAAGATTCAAGGTCTTCATTGCTGGTTACACCTCTATCAGATTTATCTCTTCTTTGTCCAGTTTCTTTTGAGCCTACACAATTTTCATCAGCCACTGTATTTCTTATTTGTATGGAAATGTGAAGAATCATCTCATCTTTGTATTGGGCCGAGTTGCCTTTTGGTCAGTGGATGAAATACAAATAAGTCCGTGATATTCATGCTCACACAGCACTGAGCTTCCTCTTCTGTTGTTCCTGTTAGAAAAGTAGCTGGGTGGTTTTGTTTTCTTTTTTTTTTTTTTTGTATTACCTTTGCATTAAAAGTATTGTCTCAATTCCTAATTCAAAGCATCTGAAACTTTCCTTCTCTCACCACCCAATTGCCACATCGTGCACTCCCCACGGGGATACGTCAAAAGAAAAAGCTAAAACACTGAATGTTCTCTGAGGGCAATAGAAAGATGAGAAGCAAACTACTGTTACTTATACATCATGATGTTCACCTCTAGATCTTTGTTAGAGACAAAACACAAAATGATTTAAACACCAACTAAAGCATCAATCTTTATTTATAAAGTAGATTACAAAATAGATAATTTCAACACCTGAAGGTGTTTTTCATTGAATACACAGACACAGTAAATCAAAAGTTTCCTTTATCATTGTGTTTATCTGTATGATAGAGCAATTATTACTTTGATTAGTTTTACAAACCCCTGACAGGAGGTTTATTAGATCAATTTCTCCCTACTTGGCAACATAAACATTTCAAAAATAATTACTTGTCACGTTAATTAGCAGCTATTAAATAGCTTATGAATTAAGTGCAAGCAGCTGCATTGCTTTGGGGCATTTATGAAGGCCAACAACAATTCTGAATGGACACATTCAATTAAGAAATGACCAGAGTTTACAGAGTAACTTTTCTTAATGCCCTCACTTTGTGCTGGCTCTGACTATTCTTTAACAATAGCAGTGTTATGTGAGGCAACTGTGCAGATGTAAACATGGTAGATCTTTCTGTAAGAAAGATGCTTATTGCTTTGTCAGGAGAAAAGCTACAAGGGGCCAAGAGAGGCAGCTGGCAGTGCAAGACTTCCTATAATTTAAAGAGAACTGTTAGCAGGCTTTCTCTTTTATGGAAAAAGGAGAGGGGAATACACTCAGGACATCACTCTGCTGGCTGGCTGTACGACAGCATGAAATATTTTGAAGTAAGTAGAATAACTTATTGTCTGCTTTGGGTTGAACTGTACAGCAGCTCATTAGAAACTCTTTCGTGTAATCACTTAACCAGCTCTGGCCATCCTCCAGATTAAGCTTTCTACTTCCTACCCTCGCTAACCCAGGGCAGGATTAAGGGATGAAAAAAACAACCCCACAACCTGCATATGAGCATATCAGGCCAAACTGTTCCTTATTCAAAATATTTCATGTTAAAAAGCTAAGCTCAAATGAGGGTAAAAATGTATGTGCACTTCTTATGGCTGAGATGCAGACAGGACTATTAAATTCAAACAAAAAGCCCTCTCAAAGTCATTTTTGAACTGCTACAGTCACATGTTTACCATAAAAAAAAAGGAATTTGGTGCTGATAGGATTTAGATTTCAACTAGAAATAAACGTAGTTACAGTGTGCAAGCTGCAAACACATTAACGATGTTTAAAAACAATGATGCTTGTGTGACATGTCGTACACAAGAAGAAAAATTGCTCAGACCGCTCCTTGCCCTAAAGGGAAAGGCAAGAGGCAGAAAAGGAACAGCAGCTGAGGGTGGAAGATGAGCTGAGGATCATCAGGAGCTACTGAATTGGGCTGATGTAGTGTGTAAGATTACATGAAAAAGCTGAGGTGTCAGATCTCTACTGCATATAGAAAAAAAAAACCACCATAAAACCAGCAAGTATTGCAACCTTCATATTGCACAGTGCAATTTCAAATGCCACAAGTTAGTATCACCAAGCGACGTAATAGCGTGAGATAAAAATTGTTTTCATCAGGAACTAGTAGTGTTTAAGCCTTATTTCCTTACAGAACTATTCTAAGATCTACCTTCCATTAAGTAAACAAATGATTCAGATATCTAAGTGTACAGCCAACACCTATATGCAGTGATCCAAGACTTGCAACTCCCATTAGTTTTAAAAAATAATCAAAAATACAAAGCTCAATACAAGACACTAAGAAGCAACTCCCCACTGGGGAACATAATCTATCCTTTAGAACTTGCCTCATCACACAATTTTAAAATGTTTAAGGTCATTTGACTTCTACATCTATTTCTTCTTTACCCTCCTTGTTAAAATCATCTATTTTTTTCTCTTCCTAATAAACAGATGACTCACGGTTCGCTGCAGTTCAACTATCCTGGCTGATTTCAGTGTTTAGATGAGAAGCAGAAAAAATAGACAAATTCCACAAAATGCTACCCAGGTGCCAGGCAAAGACCTAGTTGGATTTTGCTTAAGATTTAATTTACTATGAAAGCTCAAACAATAACCTGAAAGTTCAAGTTGCAGTTGATAATGCAATGACACCAGGATCTCAATAAGTCAGCATTACGAAGCAAGTCTATTTCCATTTTCACTGAATTTGCAGTTTTAGATCCAAGTGCACAGAAAATCAATGATTTGGAAGAAAACTTAAGCTTATTGCTTTGAAAGCAGCTCCATAATTTACTGAGTTTAGTGACTGCATATTTTATCACATTAGACTTGGTCATTCAGTAATATATAAGGCTGATGAGTGGTATTTAAGTCTGGAAAAATTGTAGTGGTTTCATGTCAGATTTCTTTAAGAGACAAGCCCATGAAATTAGTTGTAAATTTGAAATGACCACCTTTTGCACAGGAAAAAATAAAAATAAGCTATTCCTGAACAAGTACTTGCATTAACTAACAGATAATGGACTTTAATCTTTGTAGTATAAAAACCCAAACCCAACAATCCATCACATCAAAAAACAGAAGAAAACATTCTGTTGCATTACTGTCCATAAAAGTTACCAGGTAAAATAAAGATTTATCTGGGACAATGGCAGCTTCAACTCTTCATACAAGTGAAATCTTGCAGATTTCAGTAGGCTACTCGTACAAATACAGGTTCATTATCTACACATACAGCTGCTACTTACCCACAGAAAATGTGGGCTTAATAGTCTTGTCTGTGAAGTTTATGATCACGTGTATTGCTATTAAATAATGGATTCTAATTTAAAACAAGAGAGTACTAGCTTAGTTTTCTACCTTTAAAATAATTAACACTTCCAGGTGTTGTAAAATATGGTCAACAAATATAATTGTGTAACAACAAAGGAAGTACTGAGTTCAGAAGAGGGGAGAGTAGAAAGAATATTTTTAACATTTTTTTCTCTAGCATCTATAAATGGAATGGTGTCAGTTCATTGGCAAAAGTCAGGATTTCATTTTTTCTTACTGTAAAACCCTATAATTAATGCAAACAACAGTTTCTAATCACTGGGTGTTTCAGTCTCTGCTGGGCCTCTGATGAGTCGTCTTATTCCTCTCTTCCCCGCAGGACCTTTTGGTTTAGCAAAACTTTGCTTATGTGCGTGTTGTTTTGGATGAACCTCTTCATAAAGGAAGTCAGCAGTTAACTCATCACCATTATCTATTTCAATCTGAAAAAAAAAAATAGTTACATTCATCTTAAAGATATATTTAATAAAATGCAGAAATTCTGCTGAAGCTGTAAATGCTATATTAAAACCAATGTGTGCAATAATAGTCAGAGTCCAGCATGATGTTCTCTACCTTGTGCCTAAGCACCTCACCTCCTCTTGAATAGCTTTTCTTATACTCTAACCAGTATCGAGTTAAGTGCATTTTGATTTAATTAGTTCTTCTTTCAATAAAAGCAGAAATGCATACACCAAGTAACTTCTCCTGCCTCAAGCTTTAGCACAGTGTACATAATAATAAATAAGAGTACACATTCCATGTAAAAGCAAGTGCTTATTAGTCCTTTGTTAGAAATTTCCTTTATAATAAAAGAGAGCAGCATGTGATCTTTCAGAACTGGTAATTTCTTTTATTTCTTCTCCCTTCGAAAGCAAAAACAAATAGTTCCAATGTGATCTTCACACTTTCAGAATTTTTTTTCCACTATAAAGTGCATTAAAAAATTGTAAAAGCAACGTGCATATATGTTGCTGTCTCTTGAGAACAAAAGGGAGAGTACAAACACTCACACAATTAGTGGAGTACTGCAACTCAGCAAGTATTCAAGCCAGAGAAAAGATAGAACAAATTTAATTAACAAAGAGCCTGAGATTTTTCTTTGTTTGTTTTGTTTTAAGTGGAAGAATGTAAACCTGAAGAAAACACTGTTTTGAAGCCAAGGCCCAGTTTTTAATTACAACAAATTCAGAGTTCAGACAAATGCTTTGGCACTGCATGTGAGTATTCAGCATTTCACAGCCCCCTAACTATAGCACTTGCCAGCCACTGTATTGCCATTGAAGTACATGCCTCAGAAAGAGGTCTACAGGAATTTCAAGCACCATGTGGTACATTTGTCTCATTCTAATGAAGAAATTTGTGAGGAATGATATATAAAACCATGCAGCAATTGTATGTACTCAAGCTACATCATCACGGTAATAACTTCTTTCAGGTACACAATAATCAGAAACCAAACCTCAAAATTATTCTGAACTTAGAATAGAAATATTAATAGGTCACATATTTCAC